GTCTCCAATTTACAGATGAGGCTGAGACTAGTGAGGTCAGGTGACTTACCAAAGTCGCCCTGTTAGTGCAAGGCAAAGCCTAGGTTTTACTTTCATTTTGGGACTCCTCCAAAGCTTTGCTTTTTCTACTGTATTGAGTTAGGTTTCTAGAAAGATTTTCCTTCCTTGCAGGCCATATGGGAATCATCCATTTGCTCCCCAGTTTAATCCCAGTGATGATGGGAACCAACAGGGAAGAGGTAGCTGTGATTTTATTGTGGTAGGGGGGATACTCTTGAATGGGGACTAGCCCTAACAGATATGAAAATTTATGAAGCTACAGTAATTAAGATTATAAATGAATAGACAAACATCTATGAAACATAACAGAAAGTCCAGGAAGAGACCCAGAAGTGCTTGGATATTTAATATGTGATAACAGTAGCATTTGACATTGCTGGGGAAAATTATGGAAACAGCATGACTTTCAGTAAGAAGAGCAAAGTTGGATTCTAAACTCAGACTGCACGAAATAAATTCCAAATGGTTTAAGGATTTAAATTTTCTAAAAAAATGAAATAAAAGTATTAGAAGAAAATAATCTCAGAGCAAGAAAGACCTGTTGAAGTCTGACTCAAACCCAGAAGCCAGGGCTGGCAGGTTAGCTCAGTTGGTTTGAGTGCAGTATTATAACACCAAGGTCAAGGGCTCGGATCCCATACCAAAATGACAAACCAAAAACAAACAAACGAAAAAGCCCTAAAAGCCATAAAAGAGAAGATTAATAAATTTAAGTACATAAAAAAAATTTTTTTGAAAAAGTTCTTCATGGTTAAAAACAAAGTCAAAAGACAAACACTTCCTTGGAGAAATATTTGCAACTTATACGACATAACAAGGGCTAATTTCCCTAATATAAAAAGGGCTAATTTCCCTAATATACAAAAAATAAGGGAAAAGACTGTCAACCCAACAGAAAAATGGGGGAAAAAATGATCAGAGAATTCTTAGACAAGGAAATAGAAATGGCTCTTAAAAATATGAAAAGTACTCAACTTCACTCATAATATAAGAAAATGCGGGAACTTCTCTGGCGAACTGTCAGCTCGGGTCCTGTCTCCTTATCAGCTCGGTCCATCCGCCCTTTCAGAGCTGAGATACTGTATCCATGATACAAGGCCGAGAAGTCTTATAAAAAGGTAAATTGAGAGAGCTCTGAGAAATTAAAAACATGATAAAAGTGAAAAATAGGAAGTTAGGAAAGTACTGTTGAAGAACTCCCCAGAAAATAGTGCAAAGATGCAGAGATATAAAAAAGGAAAAATAGGTTAGAAGATTAGAAGACAAACTAGGAGATCTAACATACAAATAANTTTTTTTTTTTTTTCTTTTTAAAGCCCAAGGGGGTTTA